TGGGAGAGTGCTGCATGCTGGGGAAAAATGAAACATGGGAGAAATGTTTCAGTCCAAGTGTGTGATGAAAAAGCTGTGATTGATGGTTAAGGTGGAAGAATCAGTCTTGCAAGTTTGGGATGCTAAGCCAAAGACAAGGCAAGAGCCTGTGATTACAGTCTGGGCTAAAACGCTGTAGGATGCTTTTGAGACCCATAATTTACAGGATAATTAGCATTTTCCAGAGCAACAGATGTTGCACGATCAGAAGGAAGGTGGGTGGGAATGGGCAGTGCTTTCACTGAACAGGGTCCAGACTGCTGCTGAAGACTTCCCGAGCTCGGAGTTAGGCAAAATGAGCAGCTAGAGCTGAACGTGCTGTGCTGACCAGGGCAAGCGAAGAAGAGGACATGGCAGGGCTGTGTTTTCAGTTAAGCAGAGAGACAGCTGGAACTGCTTCATTTTTTATTCAGTGGTGACTGAATACACAAAATCTCTACCAGGGGCTATCGATCTGGAAGGGTTATGGATGCACTGAGTGGCATAATTTGAGGGAACCCTCTGTAACTTCACAGTGGCAGTCGTCACGATGATTCCTTAGGAGTCAGTAACACTTCAGAACTGGTATTAAAGCCTCTGATAAATGTGTCTAATTAAAAATTGTGAAAGAGAATTAGATAACTTTTTTTTGTCCCTCCCCCCTCCTTTCTCCCCTTAATTGAGGATCTCTCCGTTGTCCCCAGAACTCATGTTTGGTCTTGGATTAGCTATTCAGCTTTTATTTTCCTAGCCTGCACTTGAATCACACATTTGCAAGGAGAGGAAACAAGCATATTCAAAAGGAGAAAATAAAAGTAGTTTGGTGTTTTTTTTTTTTTTTTTCTCTTTGAAATGAATCAAATGCCTTATCCAAAGTCCATTGAATTCCATGTGAGTTCTTCCCCTGACTTCAATGGGCTTTGGTTCTGGCTTTTAGCTCCCATGGAAGGTCCTGAACTGTCTGTCCTAGGGTGACAAGGAGCCTTGGGTAGACAATTACCAGAGCTCTTCTCAGCCCCTGGCACAGCCAAGTTGCTAAGGAGACTTGGCCTGGGGATGGGCCCCAGAGCTCGCCCCTTCCGGGGTTTTTGTCTCCGCTCCCTGCCAAGGCACTCCAGTAGCGGCAGAGCCACTCTTTCGGTCACAATACTCTCTACTTCGGCCTCTGGCACCAGCAAATGCTGCCCTACGTCTTCCCTCCATTGGCGTGCTCGGCGAGCAGCCTCCCTTCCTGCAGTTTTACCATCCCTGTGCCAGGACCAGAGTGGTCAGGTCGGGTCTTCTGGCCTCCATTGGCTGTGGAATTTGTTTTTTGGCCTCTGCCACCCACCACCCTACCCCAGTGTCTTCCTCTCATACATTTTCATCATGACTTTTCCTGTCGCTCTCCTCTCTGATTTTCCTTGGTGTTGGCTGCAGTGGGTCAGCAAAAAAAAATAAATAAAAAAAAATGGAGGAGATAAAGCCAAGGATGGGAGAGAGGTGAGGCCCTTTGGTAGGAACCACCATTCCAGGGACTTAAACTTCTTAAAGAGCCAATTCTCAGGACTCCCTGTGAAGTGGGCAGGCTCCAGTCGTCATTTCCAGAGTAGTTCTTCCAGTCACTTCTCCCTCCACTATCTGTGTCAGGATGGGCTCCCAGCCATCTCCACGTGTCCTGCAGGGCTGGGAGCTCCCTGGGCAGCTCCCTCCATTGTGCCAGTTCTTAGGAAACTTGGACTTTTCCAGCTTTCCTGGATTCTTTGCAGTTTTCTCTCTTGGGGGAAGGTTTTCTGAAGTTTTAATATTAACAGGCTAAATGACATTTTCTTCTAAGCCATCAGGCAGGTGTCTTCATCTTTTCAGATAGTGAATCTGTTTGTCCATAGATAAGCAGAATTGCTCAAGCAGTTCTGAGTAGAAATTCTCAAGCCCTGGGCACTTTTATGGTGGTATAAAATCGAGATGCTTGTAGCCTTGAATGTGATATTCCTCACGTGAGCAATCATTTTTGCTCTGCCTTTTGTAGATAATTGACTCCTCAAACAGGGATGTTCTTGGTTTTGTATCTAAGCTGTAAATTGGAGAAAGCAAGCTGGTGTCTGTTTGGTTCAATAACTTCCAGATTAATATACAGATTTTTTTTTTTTAATTTAAATGTTTTTAAACATCCATTACATTCCATGTTAAGCGTCCCTTACATTTCAGTTGAACTAGGAAGGTCAGTTTAAGAAAGCAGGGCTTATCTGTGAAAAACTTTGTAGATCTGTATGTAGTTCACCAAGTAAGTAATATTTATGGTAATAAAATTAATATCTATTGCTTTTTATGGTCCTTGTGATATAGTGTTTAGTATGCTTGAAGACAGCTAGTGTGTGGGGTGATTTTCTCTATTATAGCTTATGCTGCTGCTGCTGAATTGTTTTTGAACATGTTGTGTCAGCAGTGAGAGCGAAGCACTAGAACTTCAGTGGTCAAATAGTAAATATTTATTTCTTGAGGTTCTGATTCAATTCAATACTAATGATTAAGGGGAATATGGAAATCAGTAGGGCTGCAGAGCTATGAGATTGATTGCCAACTTGTTTTGTATGAAAATCTTGAAAATATGCTGAAGCAGAGTCCTTAGATGTGTGTGGTTTGCAGAGAAATAGGAAAGGATAACATCCTGAAATTACTATTTCCAAGAAATGATACTGTACAGAATTATATTTAGTCCTTTGTAGTTAGTGGAAGTTTCTCCACATGTAGTTTTTTTTCCCAATGCAGAGTGTGTTTATTGTGGTATAGACTCCAGGAATGTCGTGAAACCCTGCTGAATTTGCATCGTGATGGTTTTGTTCCTCTGTGCTGTGTGGGCAGAGGAATACTCCCTTCTGCTGAAGTGGGGGAGTTGATGAACACTAATCATTGCTCCATATGTTGGAGGACAACTAAAGTTTGTTTTTAACACATTTACCCCCAGAGAAGAAATTTCACGAGTGACTATACATACACACCATATGTATGCACACACTTTATTTGATTTTAAAAGAATTTTGGACCAAGAATTTAAGAACTTTGCTTTTATTTCTCTGCTTTCCCTCCTCTTTTTTTGGTAGAGGAAACGTTTGACAGTCATCGATAGGAGATTAAATCATTGATGGCTATCGGGATAAACTAAACACATTTTGTGTGTTGATGCTGGCATAGTAGGAACTTTTCCAAGATGTTTCAGGCGTCGTTCTCTGGTTTGTTTAAGGGCAGAGAATAAGGTCACAAAGGAAATCAAACCCTGATGTGGAGAAATGAAACATGAGGCCTACTGACTTCTAAAAAACATTTTAAATAACATTCTCTAAGGTTTCATTTTATACTGAAGGCAGCTGTAATAAGTTTTGGAAGATGGTGTAAGGTTTCTATTAAAGAGAGACTTTTGCTTGCTGTTTTCGTACCCAAATGAAGGAGCGAAGGAGATGGAATTAGAGCTTATTTAGTATAAGGTGAGAAACTAAAAGTTCTCTCCAGAACTGTAAAATAGTAATTTATATGTTCTACCGTAATTGACAAATTAAAAAATATTAAACTGTTCCTAGATCTTTGAAAATGACACCCATAGCCATGGAATAATTTAGTAACTGCAACACAAATGCACTCTTGCCACAAGTAAAATAAGACTGCTGCTTTGTAGAGTGCTGCCAGCGTAGCCTCAGTGAATAAATTCCCAGTAGATGTTTGCAGCATGCCAAATATATTGGACTATATAAAAGATCCCATTGTTCCATGGGCATCATTATTTGCTATTACACTCACTATGTTTGCTTGTGAAACAGTTTATTGGAAACTAGTATGTTTAAGAAGGAATGCTTGATTTGAAATTCCGTTGATTTGGCTTGTAATGTCAAAGCTCTTACGGTGTACAGCCTCAAAAAATAAATATTTAGGTCTGCTGCTTTTTACTTATCTTTGGAAGAATTCCTGGAGCAGGGGAGAAGGGGCTGGGGATGGGCAATGGGTGATTCACTTCTAATTTGTCCTGCAAAAAACAGGCTGTTGGTGGCCCCGGAGGCTGGGGAGCTGGCTCGTGCCCTGTCCACCACCCAGCAGATTTTAGCAGCTTCTAGACTAGGTTTAGTGACGGTGGTGGAAAGCTGCCTTACTGTCATAGCTGAGGGCGAGGCTCCCATTGATGCTTTGCCTAAAGACTATGTATATTGCATCCACAAAATTGGGCTGGGAGCATGGGCTGCAGTGGCTTTATGGGTACCCAGGTGACACAGGGTGCACTTGGTAAATTCAGGGATGCAAGCTTGACCAAGAACATTTGATAAATACTTAAACAGTTAGTGGATTAAAAGCTGTATTGGCTCACATGAAGTACACTGCAGTTTGCCAGTATTTCCCTATGTCTTGCTCAGAGCAAGAATGAACTGGTATTTCTGCTGCTGTGTCTGGATAAACTGGAGACCAGCTATTGCGGTAGAACTGGTCAGAGCATTTTGAAAAGTTGAGCTGGCTGGTATGTGCCTCCTGCATGAGGAGTTTCAGTGCTGAGGCTTCTGCTGCAAGTCTTGAGAAATTCCTGTTGGTTTATTTTAGTACATGAATCAGTTCTTAAAATTAATAGTCTTTCTTCTTAATTTGTGGAGGTTTAGTCCAATTAGAATGTTCTAAAACTCAGAGGTACTTATTACAATATCTCAAAAGAAAAAGGAAGATATTTCACTTAATTCTTGCTGAGTTGAACTATGAAAAATGCTTAAAAGTTTTTGAGCACAGTTTCTCCCTTCCCCCCAAATAGCTATTCTTTATGTTACAAGTGTAGTGCTCAAGTCATCTCCTTTGAACTGCAGTTTTTGTTATACATTTTGGCTGCAGTGTTATTTTGGAGGAGTCAGCCAACAGGCTTACAGGGCTTTTTGGCTCGAGTTCACTTACAGTTTTCTTGGCAGCCCTGCTTATTTATGCATCTTTATTTCTCTCTCTCTCTTGTTCCTTCTTGCTCCCCCTCCCCACCCGAACAGAGCGATCACCGCACAGGCCCATCCTCCAAGCTGGCCTTCCAGCAAATGCCTCTGCAGTCGTCGGAGGTGATGTTGAGTTTGTCTGCAAAGTCTACAGCGATGCTCAGCCTCATATCCAGTGGATAAAACATGTCGAGAAGAATGGCAGTAAATACGGACCAGATGGGCTGCCATATCTTCAGGTTTTAAAGGTGAGGCTTTACAGATGCTGGCGATGCTGATGACGTCTTTAAAACATTGGTTTTTATTTGATGTAAATCCAAGAATTTTGCCGTCTGAACTTCTTTGGAAAATGGAAGTGTTTATGTTACAAACGAAATAATGAGCTAGATAAACATTTGATTGTCTGAATGCTAATTTTGCAGCTTGTAGATGCTGTGTTGCTCTTTTTTTTTTTTTTTACTTTCCTGAAGCCCTTTATCTTTGAATGTTTCAGGCATGACTTATTCAGAAAAAAAATGAAAACCCTCTTAAAGAGTATCATTGACATTTCAGTAGAGAGCGTCCAAAAAATACCCAGGAGAATCTACCCCGTTTCTTTCACATTTCTTTAGCCTCCTTACGTCAAAGCAATGTGGCTGTTGCTGACAAAAGCTTGTTGGCAGGTTTGGGTTTTTGGGATGCTGAGCCTGCAGAGTTGTCCCATCACTGGAGTGCCATGGCGTATTGGTGGTGTCGTTCCTGCCAGCAGGCATTTTGAGAAAGCCTGACCAAGGAAACTCCAAATATTTCTGAGCTGGGTGGCTTTGCCCAAACTCAGCGTGTTGGCAGGCGGGACAGCCAGCTCCATACCATCTTGTTCCATGCAGCTGGTGTACCAGCCCAGGTGCTTTTTTTCCCCATGATGTCGCTGTTTTCTAACTCCTTGTCTGATGCTTTGAATTAAAAAAAAAAACCAAACACCCAACCAAACAACAAAAACCCCAAACCCTCAATGTGTTAACGCTGCTACCTGTATGAAGTGGAAGGCATATTCTTATGAGGTGTTGGTGGTGGGACCGTAGACAGATTGGTGTCCGTTTTGGGCAGCAGTGACATTGTTCTCCTGTGTTATTGGTCTATTCTAGCATTCGGGGATAAATAGTTCCAATGCTGAAGTGCTGACACTGTACAATGTGACAGAGGCGGACGCTGGAGAATATATTTGTAAGGTCTCCAATTATATAGGGGAGGCCAACCAGTCTGCCTGGCTCTCTGTTCGGCCAAGTATACAAGGTAACACTGTTTTTTAAAGCAAGCTGGATGTAGAAGCTGGAAAAAAATGGTGCTTTGGGAGACTGCAGGCAGCTTGTAGGATAACTCTTTGGCCTTGTGGTATATGTGTAATCTTCCTTCGGTGATGCAACTGGTATTACACCAGCAGCCATGGAAAAATTCCCACAATATTCTGTGTGTACCATAAGCACTGGTTTCTGATCCTCATCTTTATTCTTCTCTGGTGTTTGGTGTCTTGGTGTCTGTGTGTTTATGTCTAGTTTTGTTCTTAGTTCTGCGTACTTTGCAGTTCACGTATAGGATACTTGCTGAATAATGTGATTATAACCTAATTTGTGTATATTTATATATATATACATGTATATGTGTATATATCTCTGTATATATAGAAAATGTTCACATAAAATCCCACTGAAGAGTAAATCAGGTCAGTTTAATCACTTAAAACTTCCCATATCACCTGCGACTGTGCAGGGTGGGAGGTTTTCCAGGTGTTATCCATCCATTATTAACTGGGTGATAACCCATCACTAACAATACAGACTGGCAACAATACGACTACAATTCACAAATAAATTTACTTGAAAATGATCTGGTAAAAAATGTGTTTATTCCCTCATCATATATGTCAAAACAACGTTTTTGAATGGAACAGAGCAGCAAAGAATAATTTCTCTAAATCTCCATCACAGAGATCTTGACACTGATGCCCTGCTGCGCCCAGCTTGGGACAGCTGGAAAGTTCCACGTCTAAGATTTACTCTGTATGCATTTGGAGAATCACTGATACAGTGGTTGGTTTTGTGCATAATGACTTGTCAAGCCCCATATTTAACAAGTCTGGAAGGAGACCAGAAGAAAAACCTTCTAGATTTATTTTTTTTGTTTTAACTCTGAGATTTATATAAAAATAATTTATTTCCATCTCCTGGTTTTTGAACCCCTGGGGTCCAGTTTTTTTCCACATCTCTGAGAGTCACAACTCATCTTTTTTGAATAAGACCTGAGCTACCTTCCTACTCTCTCCACTGTGCTTCTAAGCAAGCCACCAAATATTACCAGACTTTGGATTAAACTGAGATTTGGCAACACTGCACAGCGTACAATATTTGAGTGTAGTGCAGTGAATGATGCAAAGGACCCCACACTACTTAAGACAGCTACTAAGTTGTGTCTTTTTGAGCAGAGTTCCCCACACCCCCCCCCCCCCCCCTCTTTTTTTTTTCTATTTTTTGCCCTTTTTTTTTTTTAATCCTTTCAGAGTGTGTTTTTGTAGTAAATTCTTCCCTCTTAAACAGGTAACTACATGTGAAGGGTACGGCATTCTGTCCTACTTTGTTTTCTCTTTGTTGTTCTTTCAACTTCCTTTCATTAAAAAAGAAGACGATGACAAAAAAAAAATCTTTGTGGGTTAATTTTTCCATGTGATTTGATTGCATGCATGTTTAGGTGGTGAGTCTAGGTCTGGTGAAGGGTTTTGATTACTTTCCGAGGTGAGCTGGGACCTGTTGGTAAACGCCTCTTAGGTGGAGGATTGTGGATGGGGAAGGAGCTTTGCATCTCTCCACCTCTGCCTTTACAAAGTGCAAAGCCCTGTGGCTCCATCTCCCTATCCACAAGAATTCTCTCAATGTCTAGCTTTTTTTCTCTTGCTTCCCTCTTTTGTTTTTTTTTTAGGCTGCCGGTGTTAACACCACGGACAAAGAAATTGAGGTTCTCTATATACGGAATGTAACTTTTGAGGATGCTGGGGAGTATACATGCTTGGCGGGTAATTCTATTGGGATATCCTTTCACACTGCATGGTTGACAGTTCTGCCAGGTATACACTGCTATCTTTCTGTGGTTTTTCCTCTTTATTTTTTTTCCCCCCTCCTTGTTGATTGCTGCAGAATTAGCACAGCTTCTGTCTCAGAAAAGGACTTTTACAATTATTATTTTTTTTAAACACAGTTGTGTTTAAAAAAAATTGAATGCCAATGAATTGTTTTGACACATATTTGCAACTCCAAAAACCTAACAATAACAACAAAAACCGAGGGGATGAATCGCTATGGCACTTAATTGACATATTTTTACATCTATTAAATGTTCATCAGAAATGCTAAGGAGCTGCATTTCCTTAGCACTTCAGTGAGATAACTGAAAATCAGCATGTTAATCATTGCAAACATTTTCAAGAGGAGCAAATTCAAAGCTTCTTACGAAGCTTTGGGACTAACTTGGCCACAGTCATGTACTAGTTCATTAAAATAGCTGAGCTATTCAGTGTGCTTAAATTTGCTTTTACCTGTCACCCAAATGGAAATTCAAATTTTAATGCCAATGGATTGTGTACAGAAGCAGTGCCTTCCATATCTTGGGAATCGGCTCTGTGCATCTTTAAGCATTGCATGCTCTAGGAAATAAGTAGTCATTTGCTTTCGCTGCAAAGCATGTCTTGCTGTTCTGGGGTTGATGATGTTTCTGTCCTGAAAAGAAGCAAACATCAATGTGCTTTATTGCCTGAAAATTGTTATCAGCTGTTAGAAGATGTAACTGTAGTTGGTTTTGACACTAGTCAAATTTTCTCATTTATAACTGTTGGCAGCTGCCTTAGGAGTTCCTTTGAAAAAAACATGAACCACCTGAGGTTTGCTGGGTCATCTTGTGCTTAGCAGTTATTAATTGTTAATCCTAAGTCAAAGGTACAAAACCTGCATGTGCGTATTGCTGAGGTTCATATTAAGGGAGTGAAACCTTCCCACTTTCTGCAGAGAATTTCTTGCCCTTTATTAAAATACATTGAACAGGACAACTTTATGACACCTCGCTCTTAATGTGAACACCGAGCCTGCATGGTCTGTCACCAAGCAGGCAAAGCAGTCCTTGTGTAGAGCTTGCTTCTGCTAGCAGTGTTTGCATTTTGCAAGTGCTTGAACAGCATTTTTTTTTTCTCACCGATTTTCTTGAATGAAATATTTTTATAAGCCTAGAATGAGGCACAAGAAAATTTCAGCTTGAACGTGCATTGCTTGCGGAGTGACCGCTGATGGCTGTGGAATGCTATTTATCCAGGGGATGAATCCCAGATAAGGGATTAGGGACAGTGTTTGCACATATAACGGTCTTGAAGATAATTTCAAAGTGGTTTCAATCAGAGTAACAGCTGTGGAGAACCACTCCCCCTAAAATCTAATCTCATAGACTGGTAACCACTGATTGAGGTTACTTGAAATATGCAGTCCTCACAAATGAGGATCCATCAATTAACGTATTGCTAGCAATTCAGCTTTCATGTGTGTTATGCTTTTTAATCCAACGCTGGGCTCTTCAAAGAGCCTCAGGGGAATTAGGCACCCGGCATGAACCACAGCAAGCAAGTTAAGCAGCTGGGTCCTTGAAACACTCTTGAAATCCCTAACCTGAGTTTGGAAACGTGATGAAGAACCAATTCAACCTGCCTTCCCTCTCTATTTTGAGATCTCAGTGAAAATTTTTGATAAACAGGCAATGCAGACTCAAGCTAAATATCGATTTGCACATTTAGACACTTTTCTTTTAGGCTAGCTAAAGCAATATTTTATATTGGAATGTGTCTTTATGTGGCCAAAAAGAATTACAGTGCTTTTGAAGTTTGACCCGAGCAGCAAAATGAACCTGAGCCTAGTTTGAACTGGTGCTCAAAAATTTAAGTTTTTTTTTTCCCCCTAAAATTAAGTGTGATTATCCAATATTTCAATGTATATGTATCTACCTATCTAGGCAGACACATGTATGTGTCTATGTATGTATACATACATGCACACGCTCACACTCAGTTGCAAACTGAGAAGTCAAAGCAGTAATCTAGAAAGAGGAATGACTCTCAGATTGCAAGATGGCCTGAACATCACAGTATTCTGTGTGTCACACAGTCACTGCCGGAATTGCTGATGTTTCCCATTTCATGTTGTTCCAAGCACTGTACTGAACTCTGCTTGTACCATGTCCTAACTCTCTGGCATGATTGTTCCCTCCTAAAAAACTTCCAATCCAGCTCCTGAAAAAGAGAAAGAGTATCCGACATCACCAGACTACCTGGAAATAGCAATTTACTGCATAGGGGTCTTCTTAATCGCCTGCATGGTGCTGACGGTCATCCTGTGTCGCATGAAGAACACCACCAAGAAGCCCGATTTCAGCAGCCAGCCCGCTGTCCATAAGCTGACAAAGCGAATCCCTCTGCGCAGACAGGTAACAGAAAGTAGATAAAGAGTTCAAAAAAACTTTTACCGAACAACTAAGCCAGCGCATCCTTCTGTTGAAAGCTTTGGAAAGGGGAATAAATAAGCATTAAAGGAAACTGCAGTAGGGGTGGGATTTAGTCTGGCACCTGGGAGGCTAGCGTGGGAAGAAAGTACATCTGAACACAGCAATACAAAGAAATCAGGGCAGGGATGTTGGAGGAGAAATATAAAAAATAGAATATGTTGTGTATTAACGGTCTATAGATGGAAGAAAAATGTATGTAGAGTATTTTGGGGTCTGATCCCACAGATCATTGATATCCATGGAAAAATTTTTACCGACTTTATGGATTTTGGAAAAGAGTCCTATTTAATCGTGTATTTATAATGTTTCTAAGGTGACTGTGATTGCAGTAACTAGGTACCAGATACAGAGAAGTATTTTTCACTAAGAATTTTGAAGACTGAGGGGAGGGAATTTCATAGCCAAGCATCCAGAAACCACCCCACAATTGAAAAGAAAACCAAACAGTACTAAAGTAGAAATAAGGGAGATACTGTATCCGAGTTAGGATTGAATAAGATGCTGATGCTTTTGAGTTAGGAACAAAAGCAAATGTTTATTTAAAACACACACAAGAGCATTGCATAAAATGTGTTTTACAATTGCTTGTGGCTGGCAAGGAGCGTTTCTGGAGAGGGCAATACCATGAGCAACAAACCAGTTGAACGAGTGACAGACCTTTGGCTTTGTCACAGGCCGTCACTTGCCAGAACAGCCTCCATTCCCACATACTGTCCTCTCCTGACAGACTTGTTTCTTCTTTTGAAGCTAGAGTTTAATATGTTTTGATTTTTTTTTTTTTTTTCCTTGCAGTACATCTTCAGGTAAGACCTCAAAACTCACCAAATCCACCCCCAGTTTCCAACCCTGTGAGGTGGAGGGTTGTTGGTGTCTGAGGCTTTGGGTCACCTCATTATTCAAAATAGGGACCAGCTGCAGGGGTTGGATCCAGGCTTTGGTCATGGGGTTTGGATCTGAGGGTTTAGTTCGAGTCCATCTGCACTAGGAATAGGTTGCAGAGAATTTCTGCAGATTGTTTCTACAGCCTGTCTGGAATATTATAAATATCAGTAATACATGTACCTTAAAAATAATTCTTTAGTGTGGGTAAGTGAAATTTAGATGCACAATCAATCAGAGGTAGAGTAGAGCTTGGTCTTGGGATTTTGGACATTCTTACTTTTTTCTGAACCCTTTTTTCAGGGTTTCTGAATCTCCTTGGTTAGAAATACTAGAGAGAAATCCCTCTAGTAATGCTTTTTCCTTTAGAGTGCAGTATTTTACAAAATCTTAATTTGGGGGACATGAATTTGGTCTGATTTGAAAAATACTCAGTTTTCTGAGCAAAAATGTCAATTCTTTTTTTGTCTGACTTGGCTGCTTTTCAGGTTTTTTATTTTAATGTAATGATTTTATTAATTTGCTGGAGGATCACTAGGAAGGAGAGGGACTTTTCCCTCTGAGTGTATCAGAAAGAGTGATGAGAAGACCTTGGCTCAATTTACACATCTCTACGGCTAAAATTCTTTCTGGACAAAGAAAATAATTTTCAAATGTTGTGTACATAACCAGAGAGAGATGCATATCAAGTGCTTAGATAAAAGACTTTTTTAGACTTCTGCCTAAATATAAAAGCATCATAATGACTCAGAGATAAGTTGACGGCATAAAAAATACCTAGGGTTTGGTGTGAGCTCAGTTGTGTCAGCTGGAAATGGCTCCTTGGGGAGAGAGTGTTATTTCGTTGCGTGTGACAGCAGTGCCAACTGCTGCCCTCAGTTTGGTTATTTATCATTAAATGATGCAATACGGACCTTCTCCAAAGCTATTGTTTTCATGGAGGAAAAAAAATCTGTCTTACAACATGCTTATCAGATCAGGTTTTATCAGCTTATTTTGGTTTTCTAGATGTTCTTAGCAAAAATGGCATTTTACTTTTAAAAGTGTGATTTTTTTTTTTTTTTTTTTTTTTTGCAAAAAGTCTGTGTTTGAAAGTGCAAATCCTATTTCAGCCCTTAAGCAAAAATTCCACTACTCTCAATTCTCCCGAGTACTTTTTTTATTAGCAGGAGTTTCTCATTGAAGGGCTCTCTGCTGTTATATGTTGAAATATGTATTTCTGTTTTGCTGATTTCACTGGTCATTTCATGATTTGTTTGTATTAGCTTGCGAAGGCAGGATGAGGTGAGCCGTCCCTGAAAACTTGCTCATCAACTGTGAAGATTTCTTAAATTTTCAGTTAGCGGTCTCTGGTTTCTAAGGCTGCAGCAGTTGTTTGTTTTCTGCATCTTTTGAAGCTGGTTTTGTATGTCAGAATTGTTGTCACAAATAAAGAATTAAGAAATAAGTCAGGAGGTGTTTTATGTAACGGGTGTGTGTTTCTGGATTATTCAGCTTGGTTTGTTTTGTTCTCCTGCCAAGCTTAAGTTTTTGTTTCAGTTTATTTGTATTTCAGAGGATTGTATTTAAAGCCTGGCAGAGTTTTGTCACTAAACCTCTATTTATCTATTGACCATAGAAAATTTTCCCTTGCCCTTGTGCTGTGTGTGGGAGGAATAGAGAAAGTGTCTGAGTTGAGAGGATGGATGAGGGCGAGCAGGAGGGATGCTCGTGGCAGGTAGACTCTGTGAACTGGGCAGAGATCTGGGGCTGCGTGATGGGGTTTGTTGGAATTCCAGAGAAATGAGGCCATAGACTGGGGAAATCTCGATATGGTTTTCAAAGCTCCCTGCTGCTGGGTCAAGCTCCCTCAGGATCTGGATATGAAAATAATCCTGGTTCACGAAGAGGCATTTGCATGAGCATGATGCCATCTTGTCTAGGCGGGATAAGAGTCTTGCTGAGTAACATATGGTTTGGTTTGCAAGCCTGGATTCTCCTACACTATTTAGTCTGAGCTACTACAGGATTTTATCATTCCCCACATGCAGGCATTTTTTTTTCCTGCCAAAATGCGGTTATTTTCACATTCATAGGAAGGGTCATGATGAAGTCAGGAATTATCAGTTCCCTCCTCCTACAATCCTCAGCCTCACTAGGGTCTGGTACTTGGTTTTTGAAATAGAAACTCCTTACAGAGAAATCCAGCAAGCAGTTATTCTTCTTTGTATAAAAGCAGAGAGCTGCATTGCTCAGTCAGTATTAGCCATGTTCCACGTAGCAGGGCCAGCTTGCAAGGGATGGGGAAGAAGTATTTGTAGGATGGAACATCAGAAGAGTAGCCTTCAATAGGATATACATCTCTTTTGTAGAACTTTTTTTTTTTTTTAAATAAATAAAATATAATTAAAACAGACAGAAAGACAGTGCTGCTCTAGCAGTTATAGAAGGTCCCACCTCTGGTGACTTGCCCAGTCAAAGTCAAGTGCAAGTGGTTGTCATCACTAGAGCATTTCATTAGTGCTATCAAAGTTAAACTGTCAAATTTGGACCACCTCAACTTGGGTGCCTTATGTTATATGTGCCTTAAATAGGGAGGAGTAATTTCTTGTTCTTAGTATGTTCAAAACATTCCCATTAATTGAGATCTGCTGTGGTTGTTGATTCTAATCCTTCATAAAGATTCAGCGAGCACATTTGTGATGAGAAAAGGCTGATCAATTTAAAGTAAGACTTAAGCTCACCAAACAAAATAGGGAATTAAAAATTATGGTGGCACCTGGAACCTGAAAAAAAGAAAAGTTATCTGGAACAAGTAAAGTAGTACAGTATTTTGTGTAGTAGTGAGCTGTAAAAATATCATTCATTTTAAGTAATAAACTCTCAAATACAAATAGGCAACTGTTAGTAGGATATGTTGCAAGGAATTTACCTGAATACCTATTTTAGTTTCTTACCTTGTCCTTGGGTTTCTCTGTATGGAAACCATTGACTTGCCTGGTTGTACTTGTTTGGGTTTTTTTTGTTGCTGGACAAGCGTTCCAAAAGGAAAGCTTTTCATGAAGGGGTGGTGTGTATGTTTTAAATGTCGGTACTTAACATCAGGAATACTTATCTTTTCCTGGATCCAGTCACTCAGATGGACTGCTTCTATCAACAGCTATTAGTGTTACGTACTAATTGTATTTATATACATATATGCATATGACTTCAATTAACTTGTGTAGCAGAACCATCAAAAAGACTGACAATCATAGGAAATCACTGCATGGCTGCTAAAATCTCACAGCAAGACTGCCAGAACTGACAGATCTAGGCTTCAGGACATGGAATAAATCATCAGTGGAGGAAAACACCCTTCATAATCAATTACAGACAATTACATGCTGCTCTGCAGCTGATTTTGCCACATGGCATATAAAGATTCCAGCAAAGATTTGTTTGTTTTAAATGCTCCATTGCTTAGAAATGCTTGTAAAAGCATTATCTCGGAGGTGATTAAATACAGTGTGCTGGCCGAAGGAAAAATATGTTGTTAAAATGTGGATATAATCATGCATTGGTGCATGAGGTTTGGACACTGTGAGCTTTTCGCCTTCTGAAGTGCAGATATGGAACTAAAGATCTTTCCTAGGCTGTTTTTTTTCTTGGTTTTGGCCTCCTAAAAGCAGAAAGCAAGCACACAAGGAATATTTTCTGGTGCATATCTACCTTCCTTTTCAGGTTAACATACACCACAGTAGTCCTTGCAGAGTTCTGCTCGAGTCAAGCTGACTTCTGCCTTCCTTGCTTTAACTAAGTACTCAAAATACCTCCTTAGTGTAATTTTATCACTTAAAACAAGTGTCACCAACACACTGAGTAGACCTTGGAGATCTCTAATCCACCTACATCAGGTCCCCCTCCTTGCTTCTTTGCCCTGACTGTGCTTTGTTCCTTTTTCTCTGAGAAGCACACGCTGGTGAGCTGGGTGGTTGCCCAAGAAGTTCATGCTTTTGGACTGTACGTCCAGCTGCTGCTTCTTGGCAGCTGGTAGACCCCAAAGTGTCCCTGTAGTCTGTATATTGGCCGTGTACAATGACAAGCTTGCCACAAAATCTCAGCATGGTTTCTGTGATGCCTGTACCTTGAATCTGTGCATAACTGAAAGCAAAAAGAGCATCCACATACTCGAAAGTGTGTCCACATGCTGAAATATGGCGTTCGTGGCAGGAGTGTCACTGTTTCTTGAACCTGCACGGTAAGGGGTTGGAGAGCAGTGCTGCAAGTAGACAGCTGGAAAAAGGCTTTCTATATGCTGTTACTTAAATGTATATATATATGTAGATTAAAGTTGACCATGTCTACTGACCTTGGCGTAAGAAGGGTTTTCCTCATTGTTTTATAGTGCACTCTACGGGAATGAAAAAAGATGCTTGAGGGATGAGTTCAAAGGTTAATTTTGCAGAAAAGATGAAAGGCCACTTTGAAACAGAAAATCTCCTCCAACCACAGGCCAACCTGTGTTGGCTTCATCTTTTCTGGAGCTGATTTTTATGGCCCTTGAGCTCCTGTAACTCCTTCTACTACTCCAGTTAATCAATCAGAAGAATATTCCCTGGGAGTACAGGCCATTTTTCTTCTTGCAGACACTGAATAGTTCCCCTGGATTTTTCATCATTCCTATCCACTTTAATGCACTTTGGTTACCTACAACATCTTCAGCCAATCATCCAGTTGTTGTGTGAAATAAACATGTGCAGTAGTGTTAAAAGGGAAACTGGCAGGGTCTTCCATCTGTTTTTTCTGTACATTATTATTACTGTTTAACTTCTGTGTTTGAAATGCATCACCAGAGTATTTCAGTTTATTGAAAGTTTACATTTCCAAGTTTTAACCGTGGTAGGACTGCTGAATTGTGAGTGTAAAAGCTAGTGAAAAGATGAAACACTGGCAGAGATCTGAACAGTGTCTAATACAGATATTGTATTTGTGAAAAAAAGACCCCGTAACATTTTGGGCTGTTTCTGATACATGAAGGATATAATCTAAATTTTGCAGCTTCATTTCCATGCGTTCCTGATGTCCCATGAAAACAATGGCTATAGTGACAAAGGAAAGTAAGAAAGTAAAGGCAAAGTTAATAAATAAATTGATAAATAAATCTGAACTTGAATAAAGATGTTGTTAGAAAGGCTAGTGGGTGGATTTTGGAAACATGAAGGAAGTGGTTGTAGAGTATTAGTAGATAGTAGTTGGTTTGCAGTGAGAGACATTAAAAAATGTAAATCAGAAATAAGAGAAATTAAATTCAGGAGAAGTCATGGCAGACAGAGGAGTTATCACATTGTTTGTGCAGTTTTGCACATTTCTTAGTGCTCAGCCAGTTCATTTCATGAAGCATTATTTTTAAACCGTAGTGAAATAATGAAAATGTGCAAAAAAATAAGTAAAAGTCTAATTCCAGCCTGAGTTCTTCTGCTGACCTGCCATGCAGCTCTGAGCCAGCAATTCAGCTTCAGCAGGTGTGTTCCCCTCTGGGCTGGGCAGAGCAGCAACTCTCTCGAAGGGCTCTGTTCAGTATTCACTTATTTATTTAGAGCTACAAAGTCCTCCTTAATAGTAGTTCTGTTTGTATCCCACCAGGTGGTCCCCATATTTATTAACCTAGAGGAATGTGCCAGGTACTTATATTTGCTGAAAGTAAATATTAACATTAACGATGGTTGGATGGACAAGGGGGGAAGCAGTCAACCTGTCCTGTTTGAATGGTAGCCTTATTTGTGCAGTTATCCTCTCTTGTTCCATAGCTACCGCATCTCACATGCAGAAGCTGGAGCTTCTGATATCAAGAAAGGTCTGTCAGTCAGCTGAAAAACTAATTACCAAGGTTTATTTTTTTATAGCAGTCCTTAACACTTCCTTCTAGTCTTAATCTTTGGTCTTAGAAAAATGTGTCAAGAAGTCAACCCCATTTGATGAGATGGGTTTGAGGATATCGACCTGCAAAAAGACCTCTCAAACAAAAGAGGTTGTCAGAGTCATGATGAGAAATTTGTTTGAGAGTGTTAGCCTTGTTTTGTCAAAATAGGTTGTGTAAGAGGTTGACATGGTTGCAAAAGCCTTTCAGCCCCATTCTGAGGAGCTCGAGTAATTCTGTGGGCTGAGACACTGTAATTGTTAATTGGACTCAAAATGAGGGAGCACTAAGTTCCGCTTATCAGGTGTCACAGAGACAAGAGGATTTTGTGTTCATTTCCCTGTGTGTCACTGATTTGCGCTCTAATGCTATTAGGATCTGTTTGCTTATAATTGCTCTTTTTTTTATCTAGTTTTAAGACCCCTGGAAAAAAATTGTAGCCTGGTGGCACTTTACATAAGCAAACCTGGTGTCAGAGTTGACTCTGGGTGATGAGGATGAAGGTCGAGAGTGGTAGTTATTCTGATGCTCTAGGCTTCCAGCTTGGGCAGGGTCTCACTGATGCTGTCCGAGAAGCACCTCCTGCTGCCCGATGTGTGGATGGGAACCAGCAATGGCTTTGCAAGACAACCTTCATCCCACCTTGGCCACCAGATTTGGGCTTGGCCAAGACCATCATGGCCTGAAGAGAGGAGGGTTCACACTTAAAGAGGTGGACAGAGTGGCAAAACAAGCATTTTGGTTTTGTGTTTGTATGAGCTTGAAACTCTGACGTCAGCAGACAGCAGGCTACTGCTTGAAGGTTTGAGGAAAGAGCCTTGTGCAAGATACACCATTCACACCAGGACAAGTTTTGTTACACAGATGGAACAACTGCCTCCTTTTTCAAAGCAGTTACCACTAGGTACATTTGATGCTCTAAGGAAAATGTATTGTTGATGAGGCCGATGATACTCCAGAGTGAATTGCATTTCAAAGCATTGGACTTCATTAAATTATTTTCTCTTCTCCACATTGCCTGCAGAATCTTTAATTAAGGATGTAGTTAACTGAAAACTTAACGTATCCTCCAATTATTGTGATAGCTTTTTGATGCTTTCAATATTGAATACTTAGAAAATGTGTGAGAGAATCCAGGATTTCCTACACAGTAATATGCATGTGATCTTGATGATTGGCACTGATGAAAAGTATGGGAGCCTTTGCAAAAATACCATTTTTCAATTAAAATTCAAAATGTCAATTTAATAGTAACACCAAAAAAATGTTAAGTTGTGTGCTCGTTTGGGAAAAGAAATGGTGACACAGGCAACTAGAAGCAAGTGGAATAGAGGGCAAATGTATAAGAATTGTGCTCTAGAAACAAGACTTATAGATTCATCCCCTTTTACCTCATACCACTCTTCTGAGCTGGCTTGGTTATCAGGTGCTGCTGGTTTTCAGGTATTGGGTGAAGATTACATCTCCGCTTTCTTTTTGCATCTTGCATTGCAACAACAGGTGTCAGCCGACTCGAGCTCCTCCATGAATTCCAACACGCCGCTGGTGAGGATAACTACTCGCCTCTCCTCTACTGCCGATGCGCCCATGCTGGCAGGAGTCTCGGAATATGAATTGCCAGAAGACCCAAAATGGGAGTTTCCGAGAGATAAGTACGTAGCCTGTTTCTCTTAACACTACTGATGTGTCTGAAAACCATGCCATAGTATGAGAGGAAACATCCTTCCCAATGTCTCTGACGGTTTCTTTAGTTAAAAGAAAATAGCAACCACCTGAACCTCCTCTGAAGATCAAGATCCAATTCAGTTAACTGAATTCAGTCTTTTTTTTTAAACAGAAGCTGAATTTTCTCTGCCTGTTGTTCTGATTCTCAGATTTCTGGTAGGTTTTTCAGATAACCTGCTGAAATGTAGCTCTTCTGTTACAGGAATGAATCTCAAATGTTATTTCAAAATCCATATGATGAAGATTGGGAGAGATGTCCACATACAAGCATTGTTGAAGGGCAGTTGGGACTTCCCCAAGCAATATCTCTGTACATTAAACCCAGTTTCTTAGTTGAAATATTAGCCTTAATTGTTTAATATTTATAAAACAGGTAATAAAATATCACATAAGAGATAGCGAACAATCTCTTGTTTCTGTCAGGACCTTCTGGGTAGGATTTTGTGTTGATTTTGTATTAGCCTGTATTAATGGAGATAATGGTATTTGATTTAGTGGGACATTTTGCATATTGTGTATGTATATATACAACTTCTGGGGCTTAAAAGTATTGGGTTTCAAGCAGAGCGTACTGAGTCTTGAAACATGCAAATTCATATTTTCTTCAAAGACTGTTGACTAACATGCAAAATGAGCTGCTGAATAATCTAATTAAAGCTGTAACCATATTTCTTAATATAAAAAGGTATGTAAAAGAGAGATAATATTAATGCGGGTAGAACCATGATTATATATTAGAGTCAGTACTAACTTTAAGAAGTCTTTAGGTAGTTCTGAGAAAATAACAACTTTTATCATGAACAGCTCTCTTTCAAAGTTCGGCGTTGTAACTTTTGGATAGAAGACCTGTAACACAGAACCTTCTGACAACTGTTCTGGAAATTATTTTAATGATGTAGCTGAAAACTAGTGCAAAATGCTGTAATTGCCACCTGCAGTATTCTAGTCAACAGTGGGGGCCTGTATACATACTTCTGTCAGCCTGTACCCTGGGGGAATACACTAAATGCGGAAAATTTTAGAGTGCTAAACATTTAAAACCAGCATTCAGCACAAATGGAGGTGGAGCAGATTTGCAATGAAAGGAGGCTATTTAGAGGCAGTTTATTGGGTTGGGGGGCAGGAGGCACACAATGAGGGGTTTGTTACTTTAGTCCTAGCAGGGCAATAGCACATAAATTAACCAGTTTCCAATGCAAATGTTTGTTCTCTGCCAAGATCCTAAACTCAATTTTAGTTCTGGAGAAAATGCAGTATGACCTCAGCACAGCATATGCTGCCTTTCAGTCTTTGCACCTTTTTAAACGCACGTTTGCTTTAGAAACCGGTCCAGAGCAGCCTGAAGAATTCTCACCCAGGCAAAGACCCTGTTTGACAAGGAGTCTGCGGGCTGCCCTCGGGAGGAAACGCTTCTCGCTTCTGTCTTGTGCCTGAGCAGATAAGCCAGGCTTTCAAACCACTTAGCCCTGGTCTAACACTCTTTTCTTGATGGTGTGACAACCTCTCCCTGTATTTCACAAGGGAAGAATGAGTCCCTACACAGAATCACAGGATGGTTTGGGTTGGAAGGGACCTTAAAGATTGTCTAGTTCCAACCACCTGCCATGGGCAGGGACATCTCCCACTGGGAATTCTGCTTTTGACTGTGGAAAGCCAAGCCCTTAAGAACTTGGTTATGAAAATGCTTATCTGAATCTGGTCCCTATACCAGATAACATTAGCAGCATCAAACTCGCCGAGCACCCTCCCTGATGTCTGTCATGGCACTGCTTCTGGATGTTACATGATATTCGTTGTGAGTAAAGGAGCCCGAATCTGGCCGTTAAGGCTGGAACCAAAAAGATTTTGCCCGGAGGCTTTGAAGTTTCTTTTTTATTTTACCTCTTTATCCTCCTAAAGTTAAGATCGGCATCTCTGTGCCTGTTTGTTATGGCTGAGCAGGTTTTGCAACCAGGTATATACTCCACAAAATGCATTTTGCATAGCCTGGTTAATGACTGGTCTTTTTAAAAGGTTTCTTACATTGATACTGTGATTATAACCTAGCTGCTGCTTCCCACTCTCCGAGCAGAGCCTGGCTGCGGCAGACAGGAGGCATCTTCTGTCACCCTCACACATGACATTTGTGACAGCAAAGAGCCTGCAGCCAAGAAACAAGTCTCAGCGCTAGACCCAGCTGTGGGTAAATAAAGCCTCCCGTCTCGCCCCTTAAAGGATCAAAGCGCCAGGGGAACATGCGAGGATGTCAGACGAGCGATGTGGCTGTGGGTGGGGAGGCTGTGGAGCAGGCGGCTTGTCGGGGATGCTGGCATCTGCCAAGTGCCTTGTCCCACGGAGGTACTGCCTTTGTGCCCCGGCTCATGCAGCCGCGTCCCCAAACAAAAAGCAAGAATATGAATTTTGGGCTAAAATTAAGCTGCCTGAGAGCATGTTTGATTTTCCTTTCTGTTCGCACTGTGCCGTTATATCGCAGGAGTTAATAGTATTTAAAGCATCCCTCTGATCTTAATGCCACCCTTTACTACACCAATCATCAGCCACCTGAAAGTGACCACATGGCAACACATGCACAAAGAAAATTTTCTTTCATCTTCTTGCCGTCAATGTGAAAAAGAAGATGACTGTCTGTGTTACGACGACAGGAGAAGCTTTCCTCTTGCTGGCTGCTCCTGAATCTTGGCTGCAGTCTGAAGCTTTTTGAAAGCTCTGCTCCTCTGCACTGTCTCACCTCTACCCGTTGAGTATAGCCTCGTATTACAAGAAGGAGAGCTTAAAAGCTGGGTTTAGCAGCTGATCTGCCCTTCTGAGATGCTCGCTATACCATCCCTAAGAAAACATACTTTTGCGCGTGTGAAAATCGATGCGTACCCAGAGTCTCATCAGTTCCATATGATAAATGCTTCACGCTACAGCAAGTCGTTGAAAGCTTTTTGTATTTAGCCCTGGAATTTTGCTGGCTGCATCCCTTCCCCAGCTGCTGTGTGTTAATCTCCTGTTTACACCTCTAGGCTGACGCTGGGTAAACCCCTGGGAGAAGGTTGCTTTGGACAAGTCGTCATGGCCGAAGCGGTGGGGATTGACAAAGACAGGCCAAAAGAAGCGGTGACTGTGGCAGTGAAGATGTTGAAAGGTAAGAAAACAGGACAGTTAGGCATCGGGATGGGTGATATGGCAGTTCTCATCCACGAAAAGTTTCTTACGTGGCATCTGAACTCTGTCATCATGGGGGGGTGTCAAAGAGCACATAGCTGACCTCAGCCTTCAGCAGTTTGGGGTGTAAATCTGGGCTCTTGACAGCCTGTTTATCTTGAGCAGTGAATATTTAGGAGCCAGGAGATGTATTAGCATCGTGTGGGTCTCTCTGCTTTTAGTTTAGTTCACGTCAGAGGCTATCCAAGTGTAGATCCTAGCCCATTCAGTCCAGGTGGTGGGTGACTATTTATTTTAAATTTAATTATAAGGTTAGTTTGCAGGAATGGCATAGTTATTGGAGGTTTGATAGCTAAGGACAGCATTTTTATGTCTGATATTACTGTGTTGCCTCTTATCATGTAACACTGAAGAGGTGGACAGTCCATCAAAGAGATTGAGACTATTTTTTGTTAGGATGTAGCATATGACTTTATGTAACATACAGTGTATACTGGAAAACAAGCCTCGTATTCTGCATTTTGAAGCACACATGTTTTACACCAACTGGTGAGCTGTAGTGGAGCTCAGGCTGGCACATTGGAAAATATGAACTGAACTTGTGTCTTGTACAGATGATGCTACAGAAAAAGATCTGTCTGATCTGGTATCAGAGATGGAGATGATGAAGATGATTGGGAAACATAAAAATATCATCAATCTCCTTGGAGCCTGTACCCAGGATGGTGAGTAAAGAAAAGAAAGTAAGCCAGGACTTTCCAACAGGTCTGCAAAAGTCTCATTAATCATAATTTTTCAAGGGTTTTTCAGGAGGCATTCATGCTGTGATGGGATTTCTAGGTATTTCCCCAGCTTAGCAGCAATATTTTAACTTCTGTCTTTCATTCTACTTGCAGCTTTAACATGAGAAAGGGTACTATATCATATGAAAACTCTCTAATCCCTTACTATAGGGGGGAAAAAATTATGTTTTGCAGGGGCTTTACCCACGCCTGTTGTTCTGAATTGTCAGTCCTGCTTTAGTGGAACTTGTATCCCATGAATTGGAAGTGAGCGCTTTTTCTCTCTAAAGACCACAGTGTTTTTATTAAAATCTAATTATGTCATGTAAAGCGATACAGAGTAGCATGAAATTCTGCAAATTAAAAAATCTTAAGAAGCACTTTCCCCTTGTTTGAGATGTCATGGCATTTTTTCGATTGCAAATGCTTTTCAGTGCATGCGATGGTCTGGAAGGAACAGGCAGTGGGTCAGGGTTTAGGTACTTTTAGCCACTAATTGTAGCTTTGCCACTATCCTGCTGTAGAGCTTTGGGCCAGTCACATCGCCAAGTCCGGACCTCCTGTTTTTTCAAGTTGTGCTCACTTATTTCACAGTTAAACATTTGTTAATTCAGTTAATTTATCATGGTAGGTTAAAAGCTTCTTTCCAGCAAAACATTTTACCCTTTGACCTTACTCCAGTTTTCACACGGTTCTGTTTATCCCAAGGTCCATTGTACGTGATAGTAGAATACGCTTCCAAAGGAAACCTACGGGAGTACCTGCGAGCCCGCCGCCCCCCAGGGATGGAGTATTCGTTTGATATTAACAGAGTACCAGAAGAGCAGATGACATTCAAGGACTTAGTGTCGTGCACATACCAGTTGGCGAGAGGCATGGAGTACCTGGCTTCGCAAAAAGTAGGTAGAACTCAGCAAATACTGCATAAAGCGCATGGTGTGTATTTGTTTGGCGCTTTTTTAGTTTATTTTTGTTCTCATCTCGTTTGTGCTCAAGAATTTGCTGGGAGAAGGACCTTTCTCAAACAAGTTGCATAATCTGTAGTCTTGGAGATCGATGGGAAAATTCATACCCTTTTTAATCTCTGTTTAATTATATTGCTTAAATGAGGCCCAGAATGGATCATTTAAAGTAAATATTGTGTACATATCTGCACTTTGAGTTCATAAGCACAGGTGGTCACTTGATTACACAAGTTCTATTACTCCACCCATGAGACAGCAGGCACCATTTGCCTTCTGTTTCCAGTCAAATCGACCAAATCATCTCATGTAGTGATGTAAAATAAATGAATTCAGCTAGTGAAAGGATTTACAGAATAATAACAGGCAGAGCTGAGAAGCCCACAAGATGCCAGGGCAAAATCGTTAAACACAAAAGGCAAAAATAAGGGGAATGAATTAGTCACTTAAATTATGTGCTTTACTTAAAACTGGTGTTTGTCAGGAGACCAAGCTTGTTGAAAGAATTTATTTATCCTGTCCTGTCCCTAGACACTTATTTCTTCACCTTTTCTTCAAATATTTTTTTTTTAACCAGTAATTTGATTAAACTGTCGTTATGAAACCTTAAATAGCCCTGTAGAACTAACTCTGTAAACATATTGTGGCTTGGTGGACAAGCAATCATGAATACCTCGGGTGATGTTTGGACCCAATACCTAAACCAGAGTACTAGACATGGATGATACTTCCTGCAAGGTGTGGAGTGGTTAGTGGGATTTATACCCATTTCCAGTAATGTCCACTCCCAAGTATGGAGCTATTTTTAAACAAAGACCAGAGCTGAGTGTAAACCTCCAGTCCTCTTGTATGGAGTAATGATTTTTTTTTTATTGCTTTTCTGCACTTGTAGTGGTTAGGGGGAGGGGGAATTGCTGTCAAATTTTGCTTTTATTCTTTTGTTTTGAAACAGTGATTCTTAGTGTAGTAGGGTAGACAGGGTGACATGCATGACACCAAGACAAAAATCTTCTAGTGAAGTAAGCATGAGTATCAGGTAAAGTATTTTAGGATACCTCTTTCTAAGATTAATGAAAAGTTTGCCTGGCAATGAGCCACGTCCCAAGAAAACAGAACTGTTGTGAAAGGAAAAAATAAATCTCTTGATTGGCAAATCTTGAGAACAGGCATCCACCTGAGAAACTCTGAAGTGCTGTTGTAGGACACTGCCAAGAAGGAGTGCACTTGCACAGATGCACATGGCAGAACCATTTCATCCTTGATCCGGTTCCTTTGCAAAAACACTCGATCAGCTCTGTGCCGAACTTGACAGAAAGTGAGGCATTGCACAAGGCAGAGGGAAAACAAAGGCAGCACATAGTAAAACTGCACATTCCGGTTCTTCAGATAGGCCACTGTTTCTGTTTGTGTTTCACGAGTTCTTTTCCCCCTAGGGTTCCATTTATTGAGCTGGAATAATAAGAGAGCTGGTCTTCTCAAAATATTTCCATCATGCAGAAACTGTGAGAAGGCCTGTGTTCTTGTCATTGCAATCCAATAAATGGCTCTCTGAGACTTCAAAAAAGGAAAAAAAAAAGTGTTAAGATGATGTTTGGGCGTCTTACAGAAACTTTTTGCCTTACAAGCAGTTAGGGGTATTTTAAGTTGGAGGGATGCTTCTTAAAATTGTTTTGACACGTCCTCTCCTACCTTCTAGTACTGTGCAAGAACCACAGGGGAGCTCCAGATACAGGGGCTTGCCCAGATCACTGCAAAGAGACAGAAAATTGTTAGGGCCAAAGGGTCAGCTATGAAATGTGTCAGTTATGGAAATCAGTAGTGGCATCATTTTGAAGACAGGAGTCATCTCAGTTGCAGGGTATGAGAAAACAGAAATTTATTGACAGAAGATACCAGGGTTTGAATCCCTCAATATATTCACACAGAGGTGTTGCGTGCCATTTGAGATGGCTTCCTAGGGGAAGCAGGACTAGGGGAAATGGATACAAGTTGAAGGAGGGAAGATTTAGGTTGGATGTTAGGGGGATGTTCTTTACTAGGAGAGTGGTTAGGCCCTGGAACAGGCTGCCCAGGGAGGTTGTGGATGCCTCGTCCTTGGAGGTGTTCAAGGCCAGGTTGGACGGGGCCCTGGGCAACCTGATCTAGTAAATGTGTATGTTTGGTGGCCCTGCCAGGCAGGGGGGTTGGAACTACATGATCCTTGAGGTCCCTTCCAACCCGGGTCATTCTATGATTCTATGATTCTATGATTTGAGATGCTCTGCGGTACCCCCAGCCTGCCATTCTGGAAAGGCGGGGCTCTGCTGCAGGTCCTGTGTCATCCCTGGCAGTCTCACTGAGATACCTTGGATATCCTAGGGCATCTCAGATGACATTATGTACTTGTATTTGGGTGATGGAATTGAATTCCTAGTGTCTCAGAGGATGTTCTTGTAGGGTTTGAGAACAGTGACAGGGAAGTAGGAAGGCTGGCCTTATATTGTGTCTGCTAAAGTAGCGTCATGGTTTGATCTGGCAAACACCATGCGGCCGCTCGCTCACCCTCCTTCTTCCTGGGGACAGGGAGAGGATTAAGGGGGTAAAGGGAAAAGAGACTCA